TTCTACACTGGGGTCTGCAGGGCTGAAGCGAGAAATCCGCACCATCTTAGAAATGTAAGTGAAACTTAAGATGAAATAGCATGTCTTGAGGCCCTTGTAAGAGTAAGAATTTTGCATGGAGTTTACAGAGACAATGTTTGTTGAATGGAGATGGGTCTGGCTAGACCCGGTATAGGCAAACGGTTTTGCCACAGAGCGCCTTTTATAAGAGGTTAGGAGACCAAGGTTGCTCTCTGCCTGCTCAGACTGGCTTATCAGTCCATTCCATTCCATTCTGTTCTGCGTTCTAAGTAAGTCATTACTTCAGGCACATTTCCCTAAGCAGATGCAAACACTCTTTCTGTGTGAGACTCCCTTGGGCAAGTTAAGTTTCTTGGAAAAGGGTCAAGGAACAATCAAACAAAATACCTCCTGAGAAACAAGCATGTGGTTTCAAGGGATGCTGTTGTTCATGGAGGCCACAAGTCAAATAGGAGACACTGTGTGGGCGGTGAGACTGGACCTGACAGGGTTGGCTATGGACAGCCAAGTCCTGGTATCGGCAGCCAGAGTTTCATTTTATGGTCATGATAAATAATTTTTTCCCCAATTTTATTGAGGTTTAATTGAAAAAATTATATAAATTGAACATGAAGATTTGATATACATAGTGAAATGATTACCATAATAAAGTTAGTTAACACATCCATCGTATCACATAGTTACCTTTGTGTGTGTGTGTGTGTGTGCACATGTGTGTGTGGTTAGAATGGTTTTTATTTATCTTTTTATGGAAACATAACTTATGGTCATAAAACAATGCAAAATTTCCTTGTCTGATATTTCTAATTAAAAGCTGATAATCAAATTTTAATTTTTTAAATTGTCATAAAGAACTTTTATAAGTTTTACTATAAAATTACTGTCTTCTGTTCTCATCAGCTTATCTAACAAATGTGGAATAGTTCTGAAGTAGATATTCCTTACTGTATTTTTTTTTCTTTGAGTCACAGGGAGAAGAATCCCTTTTATGTTCTTTTAATATTTGCTTTTATTAACTTCAGCTTCAGTTAGCTCCCCTCCATCTATCAAGATTCTTTTCAAAACACAAGAGACAAGAGGTAAATGCAAATGTGGGAAGGGAAGCTGCTTGGTAACCTAACAGCTGCTCCCTGGAAGGAGTTACCACTACCTAAAACATATATACCATATCTAGTAGTCACAGGGAAAAATGAATGGATGTGGATGGCAGGTTTTCATTTGTTTCCTTGACATCTCAGGATACTGTAAATGAGTTAGTGTGTTTCAATTCAAAGGGTTCCATTATTTGGAGGTCTTAATCATTTGTAATAGAAATTTCTGAAATGTTCAAAGCTTGTTTTTAAGGAGCATTGGCATTCAGTGTAGTTGTATTACCTTAAGCAGATTTACAACCTCATTCATGGTTATCCTTGGTCATCTTTTAAGTAAGTTCAAGCTGACAAGGTGGCTGAAGCGTCCTCCTATGCTACAGCCTGTCTGTAGGCCCCACCAGGACATCTAACTGCTGGACACCCTCACACTTCCCCAGAGGAAACTCAGCTTGGCAAGGTGATGGGGGAGGGGTGAGCAGGTGGCATTTAACTAGGAAAAAGGTTTAAAGGGGCAGCCTTGTTTTAAAATGTGCCTGGGATTACCTAACCTTGGGAAGGGTAGTGGCCCCTGGGGTCCACAAGGCCCTAAGATGTCAAAGTATCAGAAAGTAGGGCAAATAAAAAAAACATGCTGAATGCAAGCCTGCCTGAAACATTGCTGCAGCAAGCACAGAAACAGTTTCTCAAACTTTTTTTTTTAAACCTGAGTATTTTGTTAAACTACAGATTCTGATTCATTACTCAGATTGGGGGTTTGAGACTCTTCATTTGTAATAACCTCCCTGGAGATGTTGGGACCACACTTTGAGCAGTTAGGGATAAGAATATCACTAGGAGTCTTCTCTCTGGGGTCACCTTCTGCAGGGAAAAGGGAAGGACCTGAAATTTATTGAGCCCTGCTTTGAACCAGAGATGTCTAGGCACTGAATACATACACTTTATCTTGTTTTGCACCCTTTGCTCACAAGAAAAATAAAATCCCAATTTTAAAGGTAAGGAAACTGAGAGTCCGGGTGGTTAGGTGACTTGACTCAGGTCACTTAGCTAAAAGTTAGAAGATATAAAACTATCTGACCGAAAAACTCATTTTTCCCACCACAATGTAAGTGCAGATACAACCACTCTGATGGAAAAGAAAAAGTCTCTTGATAGAGGCTTCATAAAATACAGTCCACGGACTTGAATCATGGTCTGTTTACAACTTAACTTCTGGATAGGAGAGAAATTCTGAATGGTGTTCATTATCTCAGGACCAGAAATAAATGGTGCTGACTAAATAACATATTTTACTATAGCCACTCAAGAAACACTTAAATGCAGTCCTTATTGAAGGAGTTTTTTTTTAAAGTGGTACATGTACACTGTAAGATCTATAAATAAAAATTAGTCTTCCTCCCACATTTTTATTGCTCAGAGATAACTATTGTTAGTCTTGTGTAGCCTTCTAGAAATTCTATGCAAATAATAAACATTTTCATACAAACTATTTCATCCAGTCATTCTAAGGCACAGGAGGTGGGGGTGGGTGGGGGGAGCAGTAAATAAAACACACAAAATCCCTCACACACCTTACCTTCCAGCAGGGGACATAGCCCATAAAATGAGTGATATATGATATGCCAAATAGGGATAAGTGCCCATGGAGGATGAGCCAAGGAGGGAGGGGGGATATTTGCAGTGATAAATGCAGTGGTTAACGAAGGCCTCATTGAAAAGATGGCATTTGGGTAAAGACATGATGAAGGTCATCCCATTCCACACTTACCTTTCCCCTTAGAAAATATGTTTCTCACCATATCAGAACTTAGCAACCTACCTTATTCTTTCTAATGACCCCCTTCTAGTCCACTGTTTGCATTTGCCACAATATTGATGTACATTCTATTCTTTCCATAAAGGGAATGTTTCAGATCAATCCTGTTGTCGAGTTTGTTAGGTGATCATTTGAGTGGTTATAAAGAGGCCTGGGGAGCGCTGCATAACGCCTTGCAAAGTAGAAAGGGAGCCCAGCTACGCTCGAGGGGCTGTGGATGCAAGCCCTAGTGTGCCGCTCAACCCAGGCGGCCGTGTTACCATTGGTGATTTATGGAATGCCTTTTTTATATTAGTGGTTTCCCTTTTCCTGCCACATCTTAGCCTGTACTACTGTCCACCAGGTGAGGGGTGATGTCTATGAGCTTTTCCACCTGGAGGCCAAGGTGACATGGTGCTTGGCATTCCCTCAGTGCCACCTGCAGAGTTAAATAAAAACTTCAACCTTCTAGGTGACAAGTTTCCCACATTCCTTACAAAGAAAGCATAAGCAAAAATTTTCAGCCACAGTTAACCCTTTGTGCTCTGAGCACTATCTTTCCCTCTGGGATAAAGCACATAAGCTTTCTTAAAGCAAATGAAAAAAAATCCTTACTTTCCAGTAATACTTATTTATGTGGATGCAGATGTTCAGCACTGGGCCATATGACTGAACAGATTTCACATTTAATGAAAGTACTTATTCATTTAATTATTATCTGAGGTAGTACCTGGGTTGTATCAGTGCTCTGCCAGGCTCTGTGGGAGGAATCAACATCAGGGTAGAATGGTCCTGCCCTAGTTACCTTCCAGGTTCTTAACTAAGACAGGACAAGTGAAAAAGTGACTGTGATTCAAAGCCGTGTGTGGCAAGGGGTGCCAAGGGCAACACAACGGGGATTAGAAGAAAGGGCAGATGCTAGGACCCTCACAGACCCCTCCACCTGCATATCTACAGGCAGAGATGGAGGTAGAACAAGGGAATGTGTGTGTGTGTGTGTGTATACACACATGTGCGCATGCGTATGAATGGAAGGGGGACAGTGGTCACTCTCTAAGCAAAGACCCAAGTGAGGAAAATAACAGCGTCATAACAGGGACACGCAGCGGCTCAGTAGAGCTTACACAAAAATGGGGAGAGTGGTTGTAGATGACAGGATGTGTTGGCCAGAGTGAGACCAGCAGAGGGTCCTGAGCCTCTACTTTGTTGCTACATGTGGGATAATAAGTGACTCTGCAAGATACCAAGAAAGCGCTGTGGAGCTCTTCCTCTTCCTCCAGTTTGGTTTTTGTTTTTGGAGGGGGTGTGCACTTTGGTTTTATAACCTCTATTTGTAATTCTGGTAATTTTTTAAACCAACTTAATACTTAGCATAGTAATAGATGTCTATGGTTTAAAAACGCAAAGAGTATTGTAAGGCCTATAACCCAAATCAGCAACCCTTACCCCAACTGCCCCCACCACCCTTTCTGCTCCTCAGAGGAAACCACTTCTTTTGGTTTCTTTTATTATAAAGATACTTATTTGCCAGAGAGGGCAGCCTCCTATATAGGTGAGACTTTTGCCCCTGTCTCTGTTGGAAACCCTTAACTTTTCATTCTGATAGGTTCTGTATACTTAAGGAATGTGTGCATACTGATATTCATCATTCATCATTTTGAGGGATCATCTAAAGTCTTACCACTGTACAAAATGAGAAAAATGTCACACTCTTAATGCCACTACCACTTCCCAATGTGTTGCACCTCCATCCCCCCGCCAATCTTGCCAGTAGAGTAAGTAGCAATTTGGGGTTAAATCTATTTCCTATGTACACATTATTATGAGCACACAATATTGTTTGCTGTTAAGTCACATAGTGTAAGAACACACTACCTATCTCATTCAATGCTTTCTTTTTCCTAGTGTTTTCTCTCCCTTTCTGGTATGTATCTATTTGTAACTGCTCTTAAACTTTTCAAAGGAACTGTAAAAGCCCTAATGAAGCCATTTTTAACATCATCAACCCAGTCACTCAGCCTGTCACATCTACTTTTCCCTTAGGAGCTTCCCGTTGAGTCTGTCTGGTCTAGCAGTGTCCCAGGCCAGCTGCCCACCTGTTGTCCTGGGGCTTCTTTTTAACACCATCTTGCGAAATCCCTGTGTCTCTCGCCTGTGTTGGTTCCCCCGTTTCCTGGATCCCATGGTTTCCTCTTTCTTGGTTTACATCCTCATTTTTGTAGAACACATTCTCTAGTAGCTTCCTGAGAAAAGGTACATGGGAGGCAAATTTGTTGAGACCTTCTTTGAGTGTCTGAAAATGTCTTAAATCTACTTTCACTCTTATTTGCTAGTTAAACTCATATTGAATTCTAAGTAAAACATCATTTCCCTCAGAATTTTGAGACTGAACTTCACTGTCTTCTAGCTTTCAGTATTACAGTCGAGAAGTCTGATGCTACTGGTATTCCTGGTCTTATATGTGTGATCTGTTTTAATTCTCTAGAAGGTTTAGGAATCTTCATTGTACTCCCTGGTGCTCTGAAACGTCAGAATAAAAAACCTTAATAAGGATCTTTTCTTATCCATTGTTCTGGGCACTTTTTCTTCCCTTTAAATCTGGAAATTCCTGTTGCTCCATTTTGACATTTTTTTCTTGTATTATTCTTTGACCTGTCTCCTTGCCATCTTTTCTGTTCTCTTTCCAGAATGTCTCTGGTAAAATGTTGAACCCCACGGACTGATCTACTGCATTTCTTACTTTCTGTTCCCCTCACCGACCATCCATCTTTGCCTGTCAATCTACTTTCTAGAAAGTTCATTTGACTTTATCTTCTACTCTCTGAATAATTTTTTTTCTTACTATAAGTTTAATTACCAGGATTGCTTATTTTCCAATTGTTCTTTCATAGAATGCCTTTATCATTTCATCTTTCTTTCTGAAGATATTACAGGTTTTTTAAAAGCTTTTCTTTTGCTTCCTGAATTACCTCTATTTTCTCTGACCCCCTCCAGCCCCTTTCTTTATTTCTCTGTTTTGATCTCTATATTTTATTCCATAGTTTATATATATACTCAAATATCTGGTGATGCTCTTACTCTTCATTTATATTTAAGACATTCATATATATATATATCACATATGTGTGTGTGTGTGTGTGTGTGTGTGTATACATATATATAAAGAAAATGTAAAATTCATTTATATTTAGAGACAGTGAATCCCCATAATACTGACTGGAAACCCTGAATAGGGGCATGGCGTGTTTGTTACCTGTCAGGCATCCCTGCGAGGTAACTGGGTCAGGGGGTTTCTAACCTTTTCAATGGGGTCTCCAAATGCCAGCAGGGTCATTTCTTTGGGCTGTTCAGTTTCTCTAGGTAAGAACCCTTCAAACACTTGCCTAAGCCTGTCCCTGGCTGTAGGTGGGGGCTGCGCTGCACAACAGTCTGGAGGGTCTCACCTGCTCATGCTGTAGAGTTTCAGTTAATTCCCCCTGTTTCACCTTTCCATCTGGGTCTAGTTTCTTAGTCCAGAGCATTTCTGACTCAGTTTAGCACAAGACTGCCTCAGTCCTCCAGGGGGTGGAGAAGTGGTAGCATCAGTGAGAGAGAGGTTGGGAGAGGAACAGGGTCTAACTACTAACACTCCCTTCCCCTAAACCCTAACTCTGTAACTAGTCCTAACCAACCCTCCTTTTCTGGCTGCACTCTCTCCCTGTCTCTTAAGCATCTCCCACACCCTCCCTACCTCTGAAGCCTCCCCAGGGTCCTGCAGAGAGGATCTGCGGGCTTCTCCCACTGCACCTCAGCCACCCATCTTCGCTGCTGGAGGCCGTACTCCAGAGAAGAGTGCCTGTCGCTTGTTTAGGAGTATCTCCTCCTTGATTGTTCTCTCTCATTCTCACTCTCTCTCTCTTTATAGTCTTTTGATTCCTTGCTGCGATTTTAGGGAAATTTTTGGAGTAAGAAGATATATATGCATGTGTTCAATCTGATAGAACCAAAAGTTCCCAGTGTAATAAATTTGATTTTATGCACTTATTATGAATTTCACTCTATTCTATATGTTTATCCAGAGACCTTTAGGTTACTCTAACTCAACTACCAACTACCTCACAATTCCTTTTAGGGAGGATATTGTAAAAATCATTTTAATTCTCTGTTACTTTCTACAGAGCATCAGGCAAAGTGAGCTAAATTCTTCCATAAATTCATCTTTATAACATCTCACTGTTTTGTCAGCTTGAGAACTTCAGACCAATAATCAGTTTGAGGCAGATGTTGGATCAATTTCTCAACACGAAGGAAGAAGGAAGAAAGGAAGGGAAGGAGGGAGGAAGGAAAGATGGAGACAGAAGGATGAGGTGGGAAAAGAAAAAAGAAAGAAACAGACATCAAGAAAAGGACTTAAAAACAGAATAGTAAGAGGGTTGTTCCAAGTAAATAACTGTTTCAAGAAAAGCTATGTAATTTCTTAAATAAGAAAAGGATTGCAGAAAACCTTCTGACTTCAGAACAACTCTAAACAATGATCACTCCCTTGGAAGGCAGTTGAGTAACTGATACCACTGAATGTTTACCATGAAACACAATTCAGTCATTCATCCAACAACCTTTCCCAAAATTCATATAAAAAGCACCATTTTCCAGCAAAAAACTATCCATATAAGAAATTCTCATAACTACATGTCCAGATTATCTTCCACTTATGTATTCACCCTGTTGCTGTCCTGGCAGGTGTCCATTTTTAGTTAAAAAATTCATGCATATATGTATGTACTAACACATATATGTATGTATTCATCACTTCATCCCCAAAGACAAGTCAGCTCATTGGTTATCCTTTTAATATACTACTTGAATATGCTTTTATTTTCCTGAGTACATTTCTTAAAAATTTGTCTACTTGAAATTATGTAATTCTCTCTAGACTGTGTCATACTCAATTATGGGTCAATAACTTAAAAAAAAATTAACTGTACTGTTTACAACACTTCTAATGTAGTTGTGATCATATTTTTAAGCTTGATAAGATGGAAGGCTTTGTAGTAAGATTGACCTTGTTTTAAATATGAACTCTTCCACTTACTGAATGTATGACTTTCAGGGAGCTAATAATCAAACAGCCATAATATTATCTATTTTGCAAGTCATTATGAGGGTTAAATCATACAATGTATATAAAGAAACTGACATATTGTAAGTGCCCAGTAAAATAAAAGCTATTAAAATATGAGAAGACATTGAAATCTAAAACTCTCTAAAAGCACATCTTTTCAAAGTGAACTGTTTTCACTTTCTTTAGGCATTACATCACTGGCAGCCTGGTCAACTGGAAGCAACTTGTCAGCCACAGAGGAGCAATGGAAAAGTTCTTGCAGGCAATGAGGAATGGCAACATGAAAGTTGGGGGAAAAGGAGATGTGGAAAAAAATTAAAGAAGGTATCTGACTCTGGATCAGTTTCTTAACCTTTTTGGTATATACTTTATTTAATTACAAAATTAGGATGTTGGATGAAGTCCTTCCAGATGTTCACAATAAAGTTCTGTGGTTAGATTAGTTTTGGAACATGTATGCCTCTGTTTCATGCCTGCTCTCCCCAGTTCGAGGCACCAGTTTAGTTTGGTTTTACCTGGCATATTACAACTTATCTGCCTACAGATCTTCCCCATTTTTGTTCAGATACTACTTCTTAACATATCTTGGAAAGGATAGATGAATTGACCTGCAATTTCCATTCTGTAATACATTTCTCCGAGTTTTACAACTTCAGCTAAAGGTTTTGGTGAACAAAAAAAGGGAAAACTAATATGTCAGAAGTTTAATTTATTGATGCTGTCTCCTAGAGCAGCATATAAACTTCTAGAGTGGGAGAAAAATCAATCATGACTTCAATGAAACTAGACATTTCTAGGTAGGGTTTAACATCTCATCTATGTGGTGCCATCAATATCATGGGCCACTGATCACCAAAGCATTGGCTGAATTGCTGCCAACTCTGTGGTTTTGATTTGGTTAGGAAGATAGATTCCTGGAACACATCTGGCAGTTCTGGCAAACAATGAATGAAATGATGGGATTGGCTGCTCAGTGATCAACGTGATCTGAATGGAAAATAACTATGGGATAAATTAATCTGTTGGCTGCAGGACTGTACCATGATACCAGAATAATGCTCAAATGGACATTCCTGATGAATATTTTTTAATACTGCCACATAAATCGTTTAAACTGTTAAAAATAGTTTGTTATTAAATATTTCTATTTTTTCTGTCAAGCCACCAACATTTGCTTTTATCTGAAAGTAAGGGACTGCTGCATATAAAAGAATATATAGTAGGAAAAAGGCCAAATAACCTACCAGAAAAAGATCTAGGAGCCAGATGTTCTGTCAGTAACTTTCCACGTAGCCTTCAATACGTCTGTTTGCTTACTTGTAAAAATAAATAGTCTCAAGGAGCTTGTAATTTCAGTTGATTATATTTACAGATTTGGGATTTTCATTTTAATGCCTTCTTATATTACAAAATCATTCTTAATTTATCTATATAAAAGTGATAAAATGAATGACTATATTGATGTTCTTTAATTAATTACATGCACTAAAGCCCCCTCCTTCATCTTAATTGTAGGAATTCTAAGAGCCTGTTGCAACATTTTCCTTTTTTTCTCTTAGTATGTCTCTTTCCCCTCAAAGCTGCTAAGGTTTTAAAGAATTCTAATTATTTGTATCTTTTCACTAAATACTACTCCAAAAACAACTTTTCTTCTTTTCAAAAGGAAATTTATTAAAAAACAACTGTGTAGAACCCAAAGAATGATTGTGTTGGTAGTAGGATACCTAGTTTATCCAGTCCTGAAGGGCTTCCCACTGTGCAGGGCTTTCTGAAATAAAACTGAGACAGTCCTTGACAAACTGAGACAGTAGGTCACCTCGGCTGGTAGCTTGAGAGAAGGACTGGGTGTGGTGATCAGAAAGTCGCAATTTTAATCCTCCTATTAGGAGTACTCTTCTTTCATTGCCAAACAGCTATAGAAGGCAATCAAACACCAGATGGATGAATGAATTTAATGACCTCTTAAAAGTTTCCCTTATACCAGTGCTTCTCAATTCTGGCTTCTTACTAGAATTACCTGGTTAACTTTGTAAAAATGATACTATTCCCTGACTTAACTGGTCTGAAAGTGAGTCCCAGTCAATAGGATATATGTTTGAAATTCCTTAGCTGATTCTAATGTTACCTAGGGCCAAGAATCAT